TGTACATGTTTATGTGGGCGCATGTGTGAGTGAGTGGATGTGGTGTGAGAGTGATGTGTATGAGTTTGGGTGTGTGTGGTTGTGCGTGCGTACGTGCGAACGTGCATATGTGCGTGCGTATATGGATGTAGGCATGGTTGGATATTTACGATGGTAAGTTACGGAACAGATAAAGACTGAGGATCGTGTCACCACACCTACCTATCCACACACGCACACACATACACACATGTACGAAAGAGATATAAATCCGACCAAGCAACCTCCGCGTGGCACAGCTTAGATAATGCTAATGCCAGCAGTACAGTAACATTAAAGTTTTATTAAAAAGTACTTAGTAAATAAATATGTTATTATATTGTTTTAAAAAGATTTCGAGATATGCTACAAAAATATGTAATAAAAAATAGGAGGTTATATTTTAAAAAATCAACGTGATTTTTATGTAACCTTGACAACGCTGCTCAAAGTCATACAATTATTACTATATAATACGTTACTAAAAACAGTATAACATTTGTAAACATTTTTTTAGAAAATGCATATTTTTCATAATATTGATGGGTGTCCATATCTTTTGCTCATTCTATAAACAGGGTGTCCCATTTTATTTCACACCGAAATATCAGAATGTACAAAAAATACGGAAAAATTCAAGCAAAAGTTATATAGTTTGATGGAGAACTAAGAAAGTAAAATTGGTTTGACCTTGGATGATGCCACCAAAGTCAGATTGAAATCAATTTTGCTTTTTTAAATAGAAACTTATATATTTTATTACAGAATTTCATTCTACGTAAAGAAACAAACAACTTTTGTTTGAAAATATTTTTTATACGACCTCCATTTTTTAAGATATTTACGGAAATATCTATGAAATTATTGGTTTCAATAATTTCTTACTCAAATTTTATCAATTTTATCGAAAAATAGCGAGAGATAAAAATTGTTTATTTTCTTCTCATAGAGCTCTAAGAATTTTTTAATTAACTTTTTAGTATTGCATTTTCTTGCATTTTTTTCAAGTACCAGAAAGATTATAAAAAATTCCGAAAAATTTCTCAGAACTATATGAGAAGAAAATAGATAATTTTTACCTTTTGCTATTTTTCGGTAAAGTTGATAGAATTGGAGTAAAAATTATTGAAATCAATAATTTTGTAAATATTTTCGTAAATATCTTAGAAAATAGAGATCGTAAAAAATTTTTTTTTCAAACAAAGGTTGTTTACTTCTTCACGTAAAATAAAATTCCGTAATAAAAAATAGATGTTTCTATTTAAAAAGCAAAATTGATCTCGACTTGATCTAGGTGGCGCTATGCAAGGTCAAACTAATGGTATCCTTTTATGTCCTCTATCGAACTATAACTTTTGTTTGAAACATTTTTCGCTATCAACCCTATCTTAGAAATAACACACGTGGGTACATTAAAATGGATCACCCTGTATAGGTATATACAGGGTGGGTCATTTTATTCAACGCAGACAAATATATCAACAGGTAAGCCAAATAGCGAAAAACGTTTATAACAAACGTTGTAGGGTTTGCAGGGGGACATTTAACGATGACCTTTGAACTTGGGATCAAATTTCAAGGTCATTTCAAAGTTATATTGATTTTTTTAAATGGAAGCCCATTTCTGACTGCAAAAATGAAAAGAGCAGGAAATTTTGCGTTCAGTTGTGTATAATGTTATGCGGTCAAGTTGACCCTTAGAGATTATTCCAAGGTCAAATAAACTTTTCACTCAAATCTCTGTAGTTACGCAAGTTTCGCAAAATTCATGTCATCCTACTTTTAGCGCTATCCAGGAACAATGACATAAACGTAGCAGAATACTATTTTTTTGGAGTGCTTGATTTACGTGAGTCCCTTATCTCTCATTATTCAAAAGAATGCAATTGATCTGTACAATATTTTACAAAGGATCTTAGAAGTTAACGGAGTAACTGTTCGAAATTCGCACCATGGGCTTGAGTACATAAATTGATTCGTCTTTCAAACTGTTTTACAGTTTTTAGTAAAACATCTCTCGGTATAGCTGCACAGGCTACTAGTGCATTCTATCATATCCTCTCTTGTAGGTTGTTGTGCAAAAACTACATCCTTCAGATATCCCTATAAATAAAAATCAGGAGAAAGTTTGAAGATCGGGCAGGCCACGCAATTGGACTACTGCATTCGATCCATCTACCAGAGTATTTTTCATTTAAAAAGTTTCGAATAACTCGTGCGCGATGAGGTACTGCACCATCCAGCTGAATCCACATTTTTTGTCTTGTGTACAAGTCGACGTATTCAAGTAAAGCGGGTAAATAATCTCTGAGCAGTAGTAAAAATATCTTGGTCACGTTAAAGAGAAATAAGGACTAATTAAATAACCGTTGACTATTCCATATCTGACCGTCAAACTCCAACGATGCTGATTATCAACAGCTATGAACCAGTAAAGATTGACACCCAACCAGTAAAGTAAATTATGTCTGTTTAATTGTCCATGCTTTTTAATGTAGCCTTGTCAGACATACCTAAAAAAAATTTGAATTTTGTTGAATCATTTGTAAGGCCCATGGACAAAAAATTAGCGTCGAGCAATCATAGTATTAACAAAAAAGAACTTAAAGTCGAAATTTCACCAGTGCAGAAGGCACTTGCGGAGGCGACACATGGTTACGCACAACGAATGCTTCGCACTCTTTTCTGGCTGCGCGTTCTAATCGCAACATCAAAAGGGACGCCGATACGGCATCGGTGTATCTCGATGACGACGAGCATCTCTACTTTTTCATTCATCATAAAACGCTACATCAAGCCATACAATCAGTATTGTTGGAGTTTGATTGTCTGGTATGCAATACGGTTATTTGATTGGTCCTTATTTCTTTGATATCAACGTGACCAAGGTATCATTTTTACTGCTACTCAGAGATTATTTACCCGCTTTACTTGAGAACGTCGACTTGTACACAAGACAAAGCATGTGAATTTAGTTGGATGGTGCAGCACCTCATCACGCAAGAGTTATTCGAAATTTTTTAAATAAACAATACCCCGGTAGATGGACTCAGTGGTCTGTTTGCGTGTCCTGCTCAATCCCCAGATTTAATGTCTCCTGATTTTTATTTATGGGGACATCTGCAAGATGCAGTTTTTGCACAACAACCTACAACTATTACTAGAGAGAATATGATAGAACATCCTAGAGTAGCCTATGCAACTATACCGAGAAATATTTTATTAAGAAAAGTAGAATAGTTTGAAAGACGAGTCAATTTATATATATATATATGTACTCAAGCCCATGGTATGAATTTCGAACAGTTGCTCCGTTAACTTCTAAGATCTTTTATAAAATATTGTGCAGGTCGATTGCATTCTTTTGAATCGTAAGAGACAAGGGGACTCACGTAAATCAAACACCAAAAGAAACGGTATTTCTACTAAGTCCACGTCGTTGTTCCTGGGTAGCGCTAAAAGGATGACATAAATTTTGTGAAACATGCATAACTACAGTGGTTGAGAGAAAAGTTCATTTGATCTTGGAATGATCTCTAAGAGTCAACTTGACCGCATAACATTAAAAACAACTGAACGAAGAATGTCCTGCTCTTTTCATTTTTGCAGTCAGAAGTGAAGGTTTCCATTTAAAACAGTCAATATAACCTTGAAATAATCTTGAAATTTAACCCCAAGTTCAAAGCCAAGGTCATCGTTGAATGTCCCTCTGCGAACCCTACGTTTGTTTTAAACATTTTTTTGCTATTTGGCTTACCTGTCGAGATATTTGTGTGCGTCGAATAAAATGGCCCACCCTCTCTCTCTCTCTCTCTCTCTCTCTCTCTATATATATATATATATATATATATATATATATATATATATATATATTCAGAGTGGGGAGAAAAGATCAGTATTCCTAAATAACTCGGAAAATATAAGTTTTATAGAAATATGTTTCAGACAAGAGTTGTTAGGTTTAAAATGGTGCATTCAACGATAATATTTATTTGATCTTGGGTGACGCCGCCAAGGTTAGGCTGAGGTAAACTTTTCTTTTTTAAATAGAAATATATATTTTTATTACACTATTTTATTCTACGCAAAGAAGCAAATAACTTTTATTTAAAAAACTTTTTTATACGATCTCTATTTTTTAAGATATTTATTGAAAAATCTACAAAATTATTGGTTTCAATAATTTTTTACTCGAGTTCTATCAACCAAAAAATAACAAAATAAAAATTGTTTATTTTTTCTCACAGAGCAAATTTGTTCAGAATTTTTAAATTAACTTTTTAGTACAGCATTTTCTTGCATTTTCTTAAAGTACTAAAAAGTTTATAAAAAATTCTGAAACAATTCTCAGAGCTCTATGAGAAGAAAATAAATAATTTTTATCTCTTGCTATTTTTCGCTAAAGTTGATAGATTTCGATAAAAAAATTATTGAAACCAATAATTTTGTAGATATTTCCGTAAATATCTTAGAAAATAGAAATCGTATGAAAAAGATTTTTAAACAAAAGTTGTTCGTTTCTTTATATTGAATAAATTTCCGTAATAAAAAGTACATGTTTCTATTTCAAAAAGCAAAATTGACTCCGATCTGACCTTGGCGGTGCCACCTAAGATAATGTAAATATTACCATTAAATGCACCCTTTTAAACCTTATAACTTTTGCCTGAAACATTTTTTTATGAAACATATTTTACGAATTATTCAGGGCTACTGACCTTTTCTCCCCACTCTGTGTGTGTGTGTATATGTGTGTGTGTGAGTGTGTGTGTGTGTGTGTGTGTGTGTGTGTGTGTGTGTGTGTGTGTGTGTATGTATGTATAAACGTAGTGTCTAACGTGTATATATTATAATGATTATAGAAAAGGAAAACTGTAATAATTATACATTACACATATTCTTTACCGACCCCACTCTACTACTTGACTACGTCTAACTACGTCTATTTGAATAAAGTGTATATATGCAAAGTGTTAAATTACCAACAGAAAAGATAAGGTGCATAAGACTTTTTTTAGTACCATCGAAAGAGTAGGCAGTGATATGAAACCAATGAAATAACATTGATAATAAACGGCCCAGTATTTCAACCGGGGTGTCCTCATTTGGGGTACAAAGTCCCACAAGCAGCCATACACCGTATCTGCCAAGTAACTGTCGCTCTTCCAGGCTCGTGGAATCGCAGTGACCACCAAACGTGCTTCCTACACCGCCACCGCTACTACCTCCGCCACTTCCACCCCCTGAGAATCCTGTACCGCCTTTATTACTAGTACTACTACTTAAGTCCATCATGTCCCTATTATCGATACTTAACGATTCGGCTTCCTTGAGTAAACTGTAAAATGAAAGGACAGTTCTTAAACTGAATCTTATGAACCGAATAATAGAATCAAAAGCGTGCTGATAAATAAAATGGTTAACCTGACAATTGCTTGAACCATGTAGGTTTGTGTTTGTGATTCCAACTGTGAAATATGCGGAAGTGCCATATGGTAAACATGATCGCCACCGCGACGATTATTATGGCGGATATTGTGACATTGTTGACAATAACGTATAGGATGATTTCCATTATAACTCGCACATTCTGTCGAAAAGCAAATGCTGATGGCTGATTTGTCCGCCGCTCTGCAATTCTAACATTGACAAATCAATATTATATTGATATAATAGATATATAGACGCTCCTTAAATTGTTTGTTTTCGACCAATAAGAATGTGATTGTAAACTCCACAATTCTAACGAATCACACACTCACCTTGTTCTCACAAATCATAGACACTTGTTGCATCGGATGCAAAATATCATAGAACATCTGATTCGGATGTTCTCGGTGGATCTCATTCGCGCACTCGATACAAAGGTAAAGCGGCGGCGGAGATTCAGTGGCGAAAGTGATGGAAATGCGATGATCGTAACAAACCTTACCAGCCTCCGCGTTTCCGGCATTTGGACAGCTATCTCGTTGACATACAAACGGAGTGAGATCGTCTGAAATGCAAAAAATAGTTGAATAGCCTAATAATATGCAATAATTAGTAATAGTTTAATAATTCAATGATTATAAAGATAATAGATGAAATATTGTGCTTTAGAAATATTTATATGTATTTGAATTACTTACTGGCAAATTTTACCAATACAGCGCGACGATCAAACAAATTTGGATTAAACGACGGCCAGTAATAAAAGAGTAATTTTGCCGCCGATGCTCTTGCCGGTGCGGTACCGTATGCAACTACACAGAGTATGTCTTTTACAACTCCTGACTTCAAGGCCATCAGGCATTCTAGCAATTGACAATGATGCGCTGGAAGAATAATTTTATTCCATATTTTCATCGATTACTTTTCTTGAAATATAAGAAGTTAAATTTTTGCTGATATGAAGTTGTTAAACAGTAACTAATTTCGATAACAGTAATAGTTTCGATATCTTCTTCTATTTCTTGAAAATTTTCAAAAAAAATTTCTTATATCTGTATGCGCACACACACACACACACACACACACACATGTATATATATATATATATATATATATATATATATGTATAGAGTACCTGGATTACTGGAATATTGAAATACCATCATTATAACAGCGGCTACTGATTGACTAGCTGCATTCTCGTCACTAATTTCGATTTTTCTCGCTATAAATTACAAAATGTATGTAATATATATAATTATTATATTCTCTATTTCTAGTTCCTAACTCTCTTTCTCTCTCCCCCTCTCACTTCCTCACCTCCTCTCTCTCTCTCCCCCTCCCTCCCCCCTCTCTCTCTCTCTCTCTTTCTCTCTTTCTCTCTGTCTATATTTCTTTTCTCCCTCTCTCACAATTAAAATTTATTAACATCAGATATGTAACCTAGTATAACCTAATGTACACTCGTGGTCTGAAAGATTTGTGCACCGACTTTTTGTAGATTTCGGAACGCGTCCCAACTTCAGGAGAAAGACAACTACTGTTTGACACGCCGACGCCGCCACTTATTACGAGAGCAGAAGGATGGCATATACGATATATGCACAAACCTTTCAGCCCACGAGTATACATGTACACGACTGGTCAAAAGAATAAAATCTACAAGCCATAATTGAAGAAGAACAACCCCATAAATACTAAGTATCAGTAACATAACATCAAGATATAATTATAATTTCTCACTAAATAATGCAAATACAATAAAACAGTTATATAACAGTTGCGTTATTGAATAATAAATTATAACATTGATGTTATAATTTAATGTTTTTGTCAAATGTGGTTTATTAGCGTTAGTGTTATTGATTATAAAATCAAATTTTATGATATCACAAAATTTAAAAATATGCTAAAAGATATGATATTATAATAAAGACACTAATATACAATTTCGTAATTGCTGACTATATTATTTAAGAATGATGGTCCTAAGAAATTTATCAACAAAAAAATCTTTTCATTCTCATCTATTTCTCCTTTCGCTTGCGTCGCTTTAACAATGCTTATTGTTATCAACTGAAGTAATAATTGATAAAAATATAATATAATAAAACACACTTACTGATAGTAAACGGTAAAATGTAAAAACAGAGATAATTAACGATTTCTTCATGAAGTTCCATGGGAAGCACAGATATAGTACTGGCCGCTAAATATGGTATATTGTCGATCATATCGTGGTCGAGGAACGGCAATAGGCACGCTAGACATTGCAACAAAGCTTTCCCGAATGCTGAAAAATAATTATTTTCTTATGACAAGTTTCTCAATAAAAAGGGAAGTTACTACACGAAGAAAATGTTGTAATAAAAATTACAAAAAAATATAATTGTTATAAATTACAAGAAATTGTTATAATCTTGTGGACTATATAGAGATTATGAGCGAAATTATTAAATACAGTCTATTCAACAAGAAAGTGTGTGGATGATATTTTTGTAGAAAATCACAGTAACGCCATCTACTTCATACTATTTAAATTTTTAAACTAACCTCTTTTGCTTAGTGTACATTAAAATGTTGTGTTGAGCAGTTGTTAAAAGTAATATTATTTTAAAAAATAAGTGAAAAATATTTGAAATGTTACCAGGCGGTGTTTCTTGCTAACCATTTCAGACCAAGAACCAAAATTAACAATCGCGGCAGTTGCTAGAGCAATTCAAAAGTCTTTCGTAAAGAAGTGGATAAATAGATTTAAAACTATTACTGGAAATGTTGACGACCAGAAAAGGGACTATCTCGTGCGACGACTCCGAAGGAGGACAAAGTGATCTTGCATCTCTTTCAGTCGAATCTCAGTCTTACCTTGCGTCAGGCCCAAGTAAAACTCCGCCGAAAAAATCTACACATTTCGTTTAATACTATTAGAACAAGCTTGCATGAAATGTGGCATTTCGATCCACCATGAAAAAACTGTTGCTGTCAAAAAAATATTCTCAAAAAAAAAATGGGCACAGAAAAATGTTAGTCGAGATTGAAATAATCCCAGTAAGCAAATTGAGCGCAGACTGCGCGCAGATTAGCAGCAAACTTGATCAAAAACCTACAGCAAAACTATAGCCATCTGTGTCTACATTAGGCTACGGATTTGGCGACAGATCTTGCTGTCGGGCAATTGGTGCCAAATTTGCAGCAAAAACCGCGCAAAGCTTGCAGCGCAGCAAGGTCTGCGCGATTTCTGCCGCCAATCTGCGGTCAAATCGCTACAAGCTCTGCGCGGTTTTTGCTACAAATTTGCAGCAATTATCCGACAACAAGCTCTGCCGCATATCTGGCGGCAATTTGGCAGCAAGATTTGATATAACAAATCATGCATCAAATTTGATAAGAAAGAAATTTGATAAGAAAGAAATATCTATTTGCCATCAAAAGTTGATAGCAACCCATGCTTGAAATCTGTTCGCGCAGGTTTAGTTATCTGGGATGTTATCTTTGGACAGATGAATCGTCCTTTCGGACATGGTGTCCCTTATCGAAAGCTTGGTCAGTGAAGCAAAAAAAATCCTGCAACACACGGTAAGACTAAGTTCCCACATAGCGCGTCACGTGTCGCGTCGTCTGTCGCGTCGCATCGTCCGTCGCGTCACGAGTTAAACCAATCAAATCATCTCATATCGTATCGATAAAAGTGAGTAGAGAATATGGATCATATATTTTTTGTTTAAAATGTCGACCAATAAGCGATGCGTCGTCTAAGAAGTCGTGTTATAATGTTATGCAATAAAATGGGACGATTTGATTGATTTAAGCTCGCTTGTGACGCAAAGCTCAAGAATAGCATCATTTTTATTCACACTGAACACGTCGCAATGCGTCAATGCAATGCAGGAGTAGGTACAACATTTGTATAACAGGTATACGATTTATATCACTCTTAAGCAGCTGTGCAAAATAAAAACAATATGACGCTCTTTATCTGTAGAATACGCTGAAAATCTGGCCAAATGTATGCAAAAGCGGTGCCAAGCACTAATTGATAATAGACGCGACTGGATCCAATATTAGATAATTGTGCATTACTAAAAACCTTCTATTTTTATTAAAAACAAAATAATTTGACTTTATCTTTTATTTTTTTCAGATTATCACCCACACTTTCTTATTAAAGAGTATATTTATTTAAAAATATGTATTTACTTAAGAATAATATATAGATTTCAGTTTTTATTACCAAATTAATTTAATTACTTGCAAGTTTTATATAACATAAACAAATTTTATTACGGTAAAGAAAAAATATTGTAATTTTTATACTATTATTGTACATGTAATACAGAAATAGTATCCAAACATGATAACATCAAATAATATTTTAATGATGCATTAATAACGTCTGTAATATCAATTCTGCTACTTATGATGTATACATCCTTTATAGAAATATCATACTAAGAATCATTGATAATTACTTATTTTCAGTATTAAAAATACTGGATAATAAGTAATTATCAATGATTTTTAGTATGATATTTCTATAAGGGATGGTATCTAACTCGTAACGTACCAGAGCTTATATACAGGGTGTTCCACGCTCTCCTTCTCACATTAAGTGGGAATGTAGAACAGGTTGAGGTGAACATAAAAGTCCTATACCGTTTTGCGATATTTACAATAATATCTGAGAAATTAATTGTAAAAGATTAAGGGGATGCTGTACGCGATTGCGAACTTCGAAAGCGTCAGCAATGTAGTACGCGTCGGTTTAGGACAGACGCTAGATAGCAGTGTATGTTCGACGCGGCCCCATCACTGATAGAATTTTGATTGTAGACACGCAGCGCAGAGTTGCCAGATCTAAGATGCAGCGTTCTTCTCTCTGCGATTACGCAAGCAGAGACGCTTTGTCTATTTGTGTGATGATCCTCGTCACATAGATTCTAACACTGAACTCTGTATGAACCATAGAAAAAGAATAACGTAAGCAATCGAGAGCCACGTATATGTGTGCCTAACGCTTTAGTTCATTGATATAAGAATAGACCGAACATAAGACTCGAGATCTGAAGACATAAAACAGAGTTCAGTACATGTGATATATTTCGGCCGATTTTCGATTGAGATTATAATAAAAATCGGTAGTAACAGTAACGCATTTACTCAGTTACATTCTTTACATAATAATAATAATGAATAATTTCATAACTTTTAGATAAAATTTTCCGTTTCTTTGCACATGTAGAATACTAGGTGCGCAACTAAGTTTCCGGGTTTCACACATGGATAGTGCTAACGACACATGTAGTCGACATACATGTCTAAAGTTATGTTTCTTTTATAGCTTGGACATCTGTCAAGAATAACCAGTTATAATACCAACACATATCGCAACGCAAAAATATTTTTTCTAACAATGAAGATATCGAGTTTTGTGCCAAATAAACAGCATTTGCGGGAAGCTTTGCTTTTCTGCATATAACTTGAAAAAAATGCAGCTGAAGCACGTCGTTTGCTTGAGGAGGCCTATGGCGAACATACACCATCGAAAACTACCTGTAAAGATTGGTTTAAACGCTTCAGAAGTGGCGATTTCGACACTAAGGACAAGGAGCGCTCCGGAAGATCAAAAACAATTGAGGATGCCGATCTGCAAGCATTACTGGATGAAGATGATACGCAAACACAAGATCAACTTGCGGAGGCATTAAACATGACTCGCCAAGGTATTTCCAAACGTTTACATGCCATGGGAAAAATTCAAAAGGAAGGAAAATGGGTGTCGCATGAGTTGACTGAGAGACAGATGGAAAATCGAAGTCACTTCCGAAATTTTGCTTTTGCGGCATGAATAAAAGAGTTTCCTGCATCGAATTGTTACTGGCGATGAGAAGTGGATATATTTCGAGAATTCCAAACGCAAAAAATGGTGGCTTTCACCTGGCAAAGCATCAACATCGACGGCACGACCAAATCGCTTCGGAAAGAAGATAATGCTCTGCGTTTGGTGGGACCAGAAAGGAATCGTGTACTATGAGCTGCTAAAATCGGGCGAAACTGTCAATGGGCATCGCTACTGACAACAACTGATCAATTTGAACCATGCATTGCTCGAAAAACGGCCAGAATGGGACACGAAACACGAACGAGTGATATTGCAGCACGACAACGCTCCGTGCCATCGCACTTCCATCGTCCAGGACACCATCAAAACGTTGAAATTGGATCTGCTACCGCACTCGCTGTATTCACCAGACCTGGCCTCTTCCGATTATCACTTGTTCCGGTCGATGGCGCATAGCTTGGCTGGGCTACACTTAGCCAATTTCGGAGAAGTGCAAAATTGGTTGGATGAATGGTTTCGGTTCAAAGACGCGTCGTTTTATCGTCGCGGTATTCATGTATTGCCAGAGAGATGGCAAAAATGTGTAGCTAGCGAGGGACGATACTTTGAATAAACCATTTTTTGTATTTCTCTTGAAATTTTCTATTTTTCATTGATCAAAAAAACCCGGAAACTTAGCTGCGCACCTAGTACATGTGTACAGAATAGTATAGAATAGCCAAAAAGAAATCTTAAAAAAGTCTTCACAATTTTGTGAAAAAATTACGAAATTATAAAGATTCGTTACTTTTATGTTACTCGTTACCATTACAGTAACGAGTTATTTTTTCAATGGATAACGAGTAATGGTAATAAATTATTTTTATCAATGAGTAACGAGAAATAGTAACGTATTACTCGTTACTCCAATTCGCGCTATTCCTCCTTATCTCATCGCCCCGTGCGAAATCTACGATCTACTTGAGACTCATTGCGCGTGGGACGATGAGGTAAGGGGAAATAGGACGTGCCGGAGCAAGTCAAAAACTGGCTGATATGTGCAATGCGTGCCGAACTCCGACATAAATAGAGACGAAGACTACATCTCCGTCTTTCTTTTATCATGCGATTCCGAAAGAGAAAGTGATACTGTTTTCACCTTCTATCTCTTTTATGCAATTTTTTTTCCTGTTTGTACCTCAGTTTCGTTGTTCAAATATTGGAAACTCTCGGTTTATTCTTGTTATGTCTATGCTTCCGCTCTAAATGCGAAGTACACACGATTCTCAAATGTATCCGTTATCACCAGGTTTAAAAAGTAAAACCTGTAATGTCGTTACCGTTTTTTTTCATTTACGATTTGGTAACATTACTTTTTAATTAAAAACAGTTGTAACAGTAACGCATTTACGCAGTTATGTTTTTTTTTTTAATAATAACGAACAATTTTGTAAGTTTTACAAGAAACTTATCAT